CTTGTTAAGTCTTGCCTATGTTACCAGTTTAAAATTGGATGTTGTGGCTGAGACAGGAAAATCATTAGAGGCCAACCTGGGTTACATAGTAAATTATAAGGCAGTCTGATCTGCATCAGAAGACCCTGTCTTTGAATTTAAGAAAAAAACAAAACAAAACAAGGTAGAATATTGACAATCTTTTTGCACCAATTTTTAAAATTTATCTTCATTTACTAAATTTAGCATTTCCAGAAGAGAGTTAGACAGTCATTTTTGTTGATGGTGTTTGTTTATTGAAACAGAATTTTGCTGTAAGCTCTTCCTACATCTACCTTCCAGTGCTGAGGGAGAAGGCACCAAGATTCCTTACTTTTACATTTTTTAAAATATAACAAGGTGTTCCTTAGAAACCCTGGCAATTCTCGGTATTGTTTTAAACTCCTAAGCATCCTTGGCATTAGTTTTCTTCTTCCTCATTTTACTCTCACACCTCTGCTCTCACCCCCCCCCTTTTTTTTACAGTAGTGGAGACTGCACTTCCCTCATGCCTCAGGCATATACAGGAGGCAAGGAGAACATTCACTTATAAATCTTGTTTTAGTTTAGTTTTTAAATTACTGTCACCATTAGGTCAGATGAGAAAAAAACCTAAAACAAGACAAGCAAGTTTTTTGTACAGCGCTCTCTCTCTCTCTCTTTTTGGGTTTCTCTGTGTAGCCTTGGCTGTCCTCTGCCTCCCAGAGTGCTGGGATTACAGGAGTGTGCCCACCACGCCCAGCTTTTTCTCTCTTTCTTTTTTAACACAAAGAAATAATGTAGGCCGGTGGTGGTGGCACACATCTTTAATCCCAGCACCCAGGAGGCAGAGACAAGTAACTCTCTGTGAGTTTGAGGCCAGCCTGGTCTGTAGAGTGAGTTCTAGGACAGTAAAGGCTACAAAGAAAAACCATGTCTACAAAAACCAAAACCAAAATAACCCTAAAATGATGATCTTTAAATGTGTATTTATGTATGATCTACATACACATGTACCTATTCACTGTAGGTTACTCCAAATATTCATGCTCAACTAGATTCTTTCCTTCCTTTTCTGTATATCAAGATCATCTGATTCCCCCAGAATGCTTTTAGAAAATCTGGAAAGGAAAGGTTTGTAGAATATATAATTCTTTTATATTATAAGAAATGAACTTCTCATTAGCCGAATACTACATACATTTCAAACAATAGTAAAGTATGAAGGTGGAAAGCAATAATAAAGAGCTCTGAGTGCTTTAGCCACCTTCCAACAAATAGCGCATGGCAGCTCATGCCTATAATTCTAGCATTTATCAGGCAATCAGGAGACTCCTGGGTTGGAGGACAACCGCAGCTACATAGAAGACAAGTGTGTGGGGGGAAGAAAACTAATGCAAAGGATGCTTAGGAGTTTAAAACAATACCGAGAATTGCCAGGGTTTCTAAGGAACACCTTGTTATATGTAAAAGTAAGAAATCTTGACGTCCTTAACAAGTCAATCATGTTCTTTCTTCAGAAGAAAGAACACTGATGAGTGGGCCTGGATCTGATGAGCGATGTCTTAACTGCAGAGCTGGATTACTTCAGGCTTAGGATTCAACAGTTTATTCTGCCCTATTTTGGAAGGAGAGAACCGTGTAAGTAGAGGTAGTGCAAGGGTGAATGTGTGTAGTTTAAATAGGATAATTTTTGGAGGCTTTCTAAGGCAAACTCTTTAAAACTGTTTTACATCATAATTTAGTGTATACAGAATTGCTTGTGAACAATGTAAATTTCAAGGTTTCTTCCATGAAAAATATTGATCCTTAAGACATAGGATTCACAGCCAGGCACTCAGAGGGGAGAGGCAGGAAGATCTCTGTGAGTGTGAGGCTAGCCTGGTCTACAAAGTGAGTCCAGGACAGCCAGGGCTTGTTACATAGAGAAACTGTGTCTTGAAAAACAAAACAAAACAAAATGGGATTCACCTATGGAACCTTTGTTTGTAACTGGCTGTTGACTATACTTAGAGAAACACTTTAAGACCATTGACTTTTCTTTGATACTGATCTAGACCCTAGAAATGATTTGATTCTGCCATAAGTTAAGAAATAGCCAAGTGTGGCAGCATGTACCTATAATCCCAGTATGGGGGAGGTAAATTGAGAAGGATTACTACAAGTTTGAGGCTAGCCTGTTACAGGCAGAAAGTTATAGAGCGATCAGGGCTATGTAAGGAGACTGTCTTGAAAAGATGTTTAAAAGGCTCATAAGATGGCTCAGTAGATAAAGGTGCTGTTGCTATCCCTTAAAGTTTCATCTCCAAGACCAACTTGGTAGGAAGAAAGGTACTCATGCAAGTTTTTTCTGACTTCAACATGAGTGTGCTCTCTCTTTCTCTCTCTCTCATACACACAGAGTAAATGAATGTATTTTAAAATTTTAAATGTATTTTAGTTTAAAAAGTCATTTTCTAAGAAAATCCCAGCACTTAGGATGGAGAGGCAGGCATCTCTATGAGTTCAAGGCCAGCCTGGTCTACATTGAGAATTCCAGCTAGCCAGGGTTAGATAGTGATAGTGAGAGCTTGTCCCAAAATTTTTAAAGAAGGGAAAAAAACAGTGGAGATAGAGGCAGCAGAGTTAGGAATCCAAGGTCATCCATCACTATATAGTTTGAGGCTACCTTGGGCTACATGAGACTGTATCAAAACAAAATGGAAGAATAACAGACAGAGATAAAAATATCTGGGCCAGGTGGTTGGTGGCACATGCCTTTAATCCAGCACTTGGTAGGCAGAGGCAGGCAGATCTCTTTGAGTTTGAGGCCAGTCTGATCTACAGAGTAAATTCCAGGAGAGCCAGGGCTACACAGAGAAACTCTGTCTCAAAAAAACAAAAACAAACAAACAAAAAAGGGAAAATTTGTGTATACTAAGTATGTACAGAGTTGCCCTATTCAATACAGTATAACTATTTACACAGTCTGCATTATATTATAATAAATAATATAGAAATGATTTCAAGTCTTCAGGAGGATATGCATGGTTATATGCTTATTTATATAAGGGATTTGAGCATCCATATAGTTCAGTGATGGAGCTCAATAAGACAGCTTTTCTTAATGTGTAAGGCCCTAGGTTCAATCCTCAGTCTCCCCTATCCTCCAAAAACATTTTAAAATTCCAAGAGGCTGAAGGTAGCTTAGTAATAAATACTCATAAGGTTTTATCCCAAACATCAAAAATAAATAGGTGGGGAAAAAAACCAACTCTATAGCATGGTGATGCATGTTTATAAGCCCAGCATTTGGGAGGCAGAGGAAGGAGGACCATGGGAAGTGCTAGGCCAGTCTGATGTACACAGCATGTTCCACTGCAGCTAGGACTACATTGTAAGATCCTGTCCCAAAAGAGCAAAACAAGGGCTCAAGTGCTGTGGAGCAAGATGAAGGGCTGGAGTTCTGATCCCAGGACTCACACTAAAGCAGGGCAGGTGTGCTGGCCAACTGTAATTCCAGGGCTCCGCTGCAGAGAGAGCGAGGAGATTCCTGGAACAAGCTGGCTAGCTATATTACACAGAATCTGAGCTCTGGATCCAGGAAGTCAAAAAATAGAAAGCGATTGTAGAGAATGAGAGTCTATGATATACAATTTGAAAGTAACTTTGTAAAGGCCAGGGGAAGGCAAACTTTGTTCTCAGGCTGAATCTGGCTGTCACCTAGGTGCCTCTACATAACCTTAACAGCGCCACTGTCTCTAGTTTTAGCCTTCATTCCATTTTTCTTTTCTGCTGCTTTTGTGACACTAGGGATAGATCTCAGGGCCTTCTGCACAGTAGACAAGAACTCTACCACTGTGCTACATTTTAGGCACTACCCACTGCTGTTGCCATTCCAAGATTAGGTTCTCTTTCAGTGTACTGCATGGCTTTCCCATGCACAATGAAGTCTTTCAGGGATGTGGGTGGTTAACATTGTTTTACAAAGGTTATTAATTATAGCTGCTTAGTCCTTGAAACATAAGTTATAAAAACAAACATTTCCCTAAATAACCTCTGAGATGGTCTTCATCAATATTTTAAAAAAAGATACAACATTTTTCCTTTTTCCTCTCCCCCCTCTCTTTATTAAAAAAAAAAAGTTGCATTTCTAGTTCTTCTTTTTTTTTTTTTTTTTCCAAGACAGGGTTTCTCCATGTAGTCCTGGCTGTCCTGGACTTATGTTGTAGACTAGGTTGGTCTTGAACTCACAAGAGACCAGCCTGCCTCTGCCTCCCAAGTGCTGGGATTAAAGGCATGCACTACCACCACCACCACCACCTGGCTGAAAAGTTGTGTTTCTTTGATGGGCATGGGGGCTCATTTCTTTAATCCCAGCACTTGAGAGGCAGAGACAGGTGCATCTCTGTGACCTCAGGCCAGCCTGGTCTACAGAGTGAGTTCCAGGAAAGCCAGAGCTAAGTAGAGAGACCTTATTTCAAAACCTCCCACAAACATTCAATCAAACAGAAAACCTAGTTTCGGTGACAATATAGGCACACTATTAAGAATAGTTGGGAAGGCTTTTTCATTCTAACAATCTTTTCTCTTTGGACTAGACAATACACACCTTCCTTAATCTGGTATAGGAATCCTCTGTAAACAGATTCTTGTCTCCTTTTGAGAGACTATGCAGCTATCCTAGTAGAGTTCTGCCACAAAACACACAGAGTGTGAACTTATGCAATTTGTGCTGACTAGGTACAGAAGAACTCTGCTGCTTACAAAGGTTTTTCTTCTGAGTGGTTAGTTTTCTTTAGTCCATTCTAGGTGAACTTTTCGAAATCCGTCTTCTGGGTACATACGTGATCCTCTCCTCGTCTGACATAGATCGTAGAGAATACCCTAATTCTGAATCTCACAGCCAGTCTTGCATTTGCCTCCATTTTAACAGCGACACTTCTGACTGAGCTTCGTGTGGAAGAAGAGACCCTGGTCAGGAGTGCGGCAGCTACTGTCATTGCAACTCCACTTCAGACATCCTACCTCTAAGCAAGGAAGCAAATATGTCACAGTTCCTAAGCAATGAGAATGATGACAGCATGTTAAATATGTCCCTTAGTCTAAGTGAAGGGGAAAGTGACAGAATGCCCCGAGTAACTAGATCACTCAGTCTAAGAGAAAGTGAACCAGAGGACAAGTTTGAGGATGCCCATGAAAGTATCCCTGTGGCAACAACAATGAACCTCTTTTCATCCTTGGAAGAATGCACAACTGGGTTGTATTTATTTCTAAATAACAGATTCTCAGATGCCATCAATCTTATTCAACCGTGGTCAAAAAACAGCCCATACCACGCCCTAATATACAGTATGCTTATGGTTGTCAAGGCCATCCTGACCTTTGAGCCACAGGATATTCAGATTGGAATTAATGCTGCAAAGGATGCTTTGAAAACCTGCAACAATTTCCGAAAAAGACCTAGGATGACGACTTTATCTCGCCTAGTGAGTAGGCAGGGAATAAACTCTATCAAAGAGGAGGAATTGCATGCAGAAGTCTGTTATGCCGAGTGTCTGATCTTGAAGTCTGCCATAACATTTATACAGGACGACAGTTTGCTGAGTTTTTTTAAAAGTGGCATGAACTTTGGGTCAAGCTTTCAAATATACAAAGACTGCCAACGGGTCTTAGCACTTATGTCTGACAACCAGAGCAAAGCCCACAGACACCTGGATGGAGGGGTCAAATTTGGACTTGGCGTATTCAATCTGATGTTTTCACTTGTGCCACCAGCGTCACTTAAACCTCTTAACATGGTTGGCTATTCTGGAGACAGAGAAGTGGGCCTGGCTTTGCTTCACGAGAGTGCATCCGAACCCCACATAAATAACATCTTAAGCGTTTTCACTCTTCTATTTTATTACAATTATGTACGTGTAGTTGTTGGTGTTGAAAAGGTTTCCACTACTGCCACAGAGAGTCTCTTCCTAATCTACCTGGAGAGATTCCCCAACTGTGTTGTACTTAAATTTTTTTGTGCACGTTTTAGCATGCTAAGTGGAAATTTTGAAACCGCACAGTTAAGGTTACAAGAGTGCATCCTTACTCAGAACGAGTGGAAGCAGGTCCACCACCTCTGTTACTGGGAACTCATGTGGTGCCACATTTTCCTGCAGAATTGGAAGCAGGCATACAAATACGCCAATCTACTGTCTCAACATAGCAGGTGGTCTAAGGCAATATATATGTACAGCAAAGCTATAATACTGGCCTTGCTTCCTCCTGATTATGTGGAATCAGAAACTGAGAAAATGAGATCTGTCTTCTTACATGTGGATAGCCTTAGAATCAAAATTTTAGGCTCTTCTCTACCAATAGAAAAGTTTATTGCTGAGAAAAGTCAGCGCTACGGTTCCACAACAGGCTGGTTTACAGCACAGCCCCTTCTGGAATTCATTTACGCCTGGAGTGGTTTCCGAGTCATGAGCAAGAAAATAGAGCTTATTTCAAGTTGGCTAGCAATAATTGACAGAGGAAAAGACCTTTTGAGTGAGAATCAAAAAACAAGCAAGGAGTATGGCACAGATGACATGAGTTTGCTAAATTTGTTGAAAGGTCTGTGCCTGAAACACTTAGGCAAACACTTGAAGGCTGAGCACTACTTTATTCGTGTTATCAAGAAGGAGAAAATGTTAAAATATGACCGCTACTTGGTGCCATACAGTTACTATGAGCTGGGAATGCTGCACTATCTGAAGGGAGACTACACCAGTGCCATGAAGAACCTAGACCACATAAAGAACTATAAAGACTACTCCATGGAAGCCCGGCTACAGTTTAGGGCTCACGTTGCCCTTGAACAGATCTCTAAATTAGAGAAGTGATTCTTAACCCAGTGTACTTTAGTTTAGTAGAAGTGTGATATCTATGATCAGTCAAGTAATTAGTGGGTGGAAAAGTAATTCCTTCGTGGAAAGCAAAAATCCAAGAGGCAGGCGCTAAGAATCTGATAAGAAAGGCATATGTCATTTCTTTGCCCCCTCTCCTTCTCCTTACCCATAAAATGCTTAGACAAAAAAACGGAGTGATGCACATTCTTGGAAAAGGAAAGGCAAATGCTGTACATTGCAAAAACATGAGTTATTATGTTAACAGTTTGAAAACCTCCAAAGGTTTTGCCTCCCATTAGATACTGAATACATCTTGCACATAACAGAGTGAATGTTTATCTGTTAAAGAAATGACCTCAGTATCTTACTGTTTCAAAAATAATGGCACACTCGGTAGTATAAACTCTGAAAGGTTTTCCCTTATAAACAATCGTTTTCATGGGCTTTTATATAGAAGATGATTTTCCCCTGTGTGATAAGGAATATTTTTTACACTTTTACATAAGGAATACTAGGACGCTTTATTTTGAATTTATAATTTGCCAGAGAATAGAGAAGAAAGAAGTCTCCATCCACATATAATCCCTATGATGATAATTGGAGGAAATCAAGATGATGATAGACTATTGGGTAAACAAACAAACAAACAAACAAACACCAGGGAAATGGCTTAGCAAAGCTTGGCAAATTTGCCATAAGCATGAAGACTAGAGTGTGGTTCCCCAGAACCCAGGTAAATTCCTGTAAGAGGTGGGAGGAGATGGGTGTCCCAGGAACAAGCTGGCTAGTTAGAATGAGCCCACGTCTGAGAGCTGTAGGTTCAGTTGAGGCCTCCTCAACAAGGTGGAGAGCAATCAAAGACTGCTAACACCATCCTCAGGCCTCCACATGCACAGGCACACACATACATGTGTCCACGTGTGGGAAGAAGCAAGCACAGGCATATTACACACAACGGAAACAATTGAAAATGAATAAACATTTTTAAGGGAAAAAGGTGAGGCTGTTGGAGGTACAGTTAGTGACTGACTAGCCCTTGCTTTCACTGTCTTCTCTGAGGTGTAATTTCTATCTTGATACCAGCCAGCTCTTCAACGTCAGTAAGCCATTTGATTGGCCAATCTGAGAGCAAATGGTAGTAAGAGATTTGGGACTTGGTGTTGTTTTACCTGCCTCAGGGATAAAAACTGGTCCCCAGTTTCCAGAGCAGTAAGTTGGGCTGAGTATATCCTCGCCCCTTGAAACAAATATGAGGAGAGAAGCAGACACAGTGATGTAGCCTTATAACCCTATTGCTCTCAGGCTGAGGCAGGTGGATTCATCTTCTACCCATTCCTGGGCCACACAGAAAGACCTTGTGTAAGTGAAACAAAACAAAAAGTGAGGTTGATAATGACAGTGTTGCTTGGTTATAAAAGTGCTTGCCTAAAATGTGCAAGACCCTGAGTCTGATCCCCAGCACCCCACCAAAAATAATTATGTGGCTTTTTTTACTTTCTAAGTTTGGACTGCTAAAAACATGCTATCTTAATGCTTAATGAGTGTTGTGTCCAAAGAACTAACTGGAGCACAGTGAGGTGGCAAGTTATTTCAGATTTAGCAATGCTTGGTTTTTTAGATTTTAATTATTTTTAATGTGTATCTGTGTGTGTATATGTGTGTGTGTGTGTGTGTATGTGTGTGTGTGTGTGTCTGGGTGAGTGAGAAAGAGAGACAGAATGCAAGTGAGAGAGGAGTTACAGGCAGCTGTGAACTGCCTGACGTGGGTGCTGGGAACCAAACTTGAGTCCATCTGGAAAAGCACTGCACACTCATAACTGCTGAGCCATCTCTCCAACCCCATAGTTGTTTTGTGTGTGTGTGTGTGTGTGTGTGTGTGTGTGTGTGTGTTTTCTCTCAAGACAGAGAGAGAGAGAGGGGGAGAGGGAGAGAGGCTATTCTCTTGTGTCTAATCTCATCCGTTGGGAAGTGATGACAGAGGATCAGGGTTTTAGGGTCATCCTGAGTTACAAAGTGAGTTAGCAGCTAACCTGGACTACACAAGACTCTGTCTCAAAAACAAAAACAAAAGTAACTTTCATACTTTTCATTTATTGCTTTAGAGTTCGTAAAAGTGTCTTCATCTTAGGAAAACAAGACGAGCTTAAATTGATGCTGGAGAAATCAATCCTGGTTCTCTGAGGTTGTGAACCTTTCCCCTGGGCAAGGCACATAATCCTACTCAGTACAAAGACCCATCATTTTATAATTGGATTTTATATTAAAGATATGGTGTTCTGGAGGTGTTTTTCTGAATATCATTCTTTGCTTTGCTTGGGCACATAGTTTGTTTTACACGAACTTTTGTAGTGTTTTAGTTCTCTATATTCCCCAGGTCCAGTTTTTCTGCATTCCCCCTCCTCTTATTTTGGTCCTTGGAAATTGAGTCCCTGGCTGCTAACATGCTAAGCAGGTGTTTTACTATTGAGACATATTCATAACCCCCTTGCATCCATTCTTTGCATATCTATCTATCTATCTATCTATCTATCTATCTATCTATCTATCTATCTATCATCTATCTATCTATTTTTTTTTTCAAAACAGGGTTTCTCTGTGTGGCCCCGCTGTTATGGAACTCACTTTGGAGACCAGGCTGGCCTTAAACTCAGAGAGTTGCTTGCATCTGCCTCCGAAGTGCTGGGATCAAAGGCATGTGCCACAACTGCCAGGCTCTTTGCATTGATTTAATCATGTCATTACACAGTAAAAAATAAAAATAGACAATTACCTACAAGACTATTTATTCATGCATTAAAAAGACAGGAACATACAGTACCCTTTTAGAGGGTTGCTAGAGAATAGTCAGGGTAACAAAGTGAGACTCCTGTCAATATAACAGTAAGAAAACAATAAACCATTATTAATGTTAACCATTAGGGTTGGGATATAGTTCAATGATAAAGGACTTAACTAACATGCTTGAAACTCTGGGCCTCTCAATGACCACCCCCCCATTCTATATATCGATGATGTTGATGAGTTCTTACAGTGCCTGGCATAGGTGTGTTCCTGCGTCCTGTTGTGTGTCCCTCCTTACCACCCCAGTCTCTCTTGATGCTATGATTACAAGTATACAGCACTACTCCAAGCTTATACAATGCTGGGATCAAACCTAGGCATTCATACACACACTCTACCAACTGGGCTACATCCCCAGCTCAAACACAGAAGTTTTCTTATAGAAATAAAATGTGGTCTGGTGTGATGGTGTTCCAGCACTCTGAAGGCTGATGCAGGAAGATCTTAGTTCTAGGCTAGCTTGGACTACATAGTGAGAGCCTGTCTCAAAAGACAATAATTTTTTTTTAATTCTATTTAATCAGCCAGGCATGGTGGCACACACCTAATCCCAGCACATGGGAGGCAGAGAAGCAGGTGGATATCTGAGTTCAAGGCCAGCCTAGTCTACAAAGTGAGTTCTAGGATGGCTAGGACTACACAGAGAAACACTGTCTTGGGAAAAAAAAAAAGGAAAAAATATAAGCTGAGCACCTACTATATGCCAGGGATAGAGCTGGTTGTGAAGTACATGGTTGCCAATGAAACAAAACATGGCCCCTGCTCACCATTAGAGGGCTTCTAGGGTTAGTGATGTCTTAGTTACAAAATTTTAAAGCTGAAACAATTTTGGATTATCTAATCACACATTTTCATTTCTATATGAGGTGACTAAAATCCAATCAGTGGAATAACATTTACCCACACTTGTGTGCTCACATGCAAGCAAACACACACACAAAGGGAAAAAAAAATCTCGGTTTTTAACTATGCATGGTAATGGATGCTTGTAATCTCAGTACTTGGGAATGAAAGCCAGCCTCAGCTTCACAGCAAGTTCAACGACAGGATGGGCTAAACGAGACCCCACCTAAAAACAGATAATTCTGACAGCAGAAAACATAGCAACAAAACTATAGCAGTATTTTCTGTGTGTGCTTCCTGTGTGGGGACATGTATGTGGGATGCACATTTGTGTGGCTGAACACATGGAAAGGGCTTAGGGTCATTGTCACATCTTCCTGAGTCACTTCTCCAGCTGTGTTTGTGTGTGTATGTGTGTGTATTATATGCATGTATACATATATGCATGTGATGGCCTGGCAGGCACGTGTTGCAGAGAGAGGTTGACTTAAGATGTCTTCCTAAATCACTTATTACTTTTACTATTAATCTTTACTATTAATCTTTAATTATTAATCTTTACTATTATTATTTGAGACACGGTCTCTCCATGTAGCTCTGGCTATCCTGGAACTAATACTGTAGATCAGGTTGGCTTTGAACTCACTGAGATCCACTTGGCTCTGCCTCCTAAGTGCTGAGATTAAAAGCCTGTGCCACTACGCCCAGCTTCTACGTTGTTTTTTGAGTCAGACCTTCTCACAAAACTTGGAACTTGATGCTTTGGCTGACACAGCTGGCTAGCAGGCCTGGGATGGAGCAGTCACTGTTCCCCTCTAAGCCCTGAGGTGGCAGATGCATGCTGCCATGCCAGGCTTTTATGTGAGTGCAGAGGATCCAAACTCAGGACCTCATGGTTGCATAGCAAGGACTTTACATGCTGAACCATCTCACAAGCCCTCTACCTTGGTTTTGTTTGTTTTGTTTTCTGAGACAGGGTCTCTCTAGGTAGCCTTGCCTTGCCTTTGCCTCCCTACTGCTGGGATTAAAGGTATACACCATCACTCCCTACTTAAAACACATGTGTGTGAGGGCTGGAGAGATGGCTCAGCGGTTTAGAGCACTGTCTTCTCTTCCAGAGGTCCTGAGTTTAATTCCCAGCAACCACACGGTGGCTCACAACCATCTATACTGGGATCTGATGCGCTATTCTATCATGCAGGCATCCATGCAAATAGAGTGCTCATGTGTATAAGTACATCTTTAAAAACGTGTGTGTGTGTACAAAAGTCACAGAACTGCAGGAGTTAGTTCTCTCCTTCCACAAACCTCCCAGAGATCAAACTCAAGTCATCAGCGATAGCAGCAAGTTCCTTTACCACTGAGTCCTCTCACTGGACTAGAGGGGCTCATCTGTCTTTGAGGTGGGCCAAGATTCTCATGCTTTCAGTGCAAGCAAGCACTTTACTAACAGCCCTTACCCCAGCCCAATATTTTATGCTTGCATGTAAGTCTGAGCACCACATAGGAACCTGGTGACCAGAGGAGTGTATCAGCCCCTGCCACTGTGTGGAGACTGGGGATTGAATCCTGGCCATCTGAAGAACAGCCAGGACTTCTAACCACTGAGCTGTTTCAAATTTTTTTTTTCCGTTCATTCTCTGTGTGTAAGGGCAGCCTCAGCTTTCATTCTCAGGAAATCCACCCACCTTCATTAACACAAGATCTTATTGGCCCAAATCTTGACAATTAGCCTAGTGAGCCCCAGCAATCCTTTTGTTTCAACTTCCCAGCCATGGGATTACAAATGAACACCACCAAACTGGGTTTTTGTAATACAGCTATTCCTAGTCCCTCAACAAAATATTCTTGATGAATAAACATATACATAGAGGAGAGACACTTCTACTGGCTGGAAAAGCTAGAATACTTTAAATATCTTTTACCTAGTTGCAACACAATACTTGCACCTGAATTTTTATTTATTTATTTGTTTGCTTATTTATTTTTTGGTGACAGGGCTGGTCTGGAACTACGTAGACCAATCGGTCTCGGACTCCACCTACCTCTGCTTCCCATGTACTGGGATTGAAGAAAGGCCAATGTACTACGTGTGGCCCAAATGCAACTTAAATTTCTGATCGTTTGGACAGGGTAGGGGAGTAGCCTTGTCTCAAAAGAGAAAGAAAACATAAGGCCAAGCCTTTTGCGGGAAAGAATGAAGTTTAAAATGCAAGTGAACATGTGTAGCTCTTCTATTCTGCGTTTTTAAAAGGTCAAACATTTTTTCCCACACCCTAATAACTTGGAATTTACATTAGCCCTTTGTAGATTTACAGAGGGTTTTAGCTGGCAAAGTCTAACTTAATTCCTGAAAGCTCCTTAATATAAGCAGTCAGTCACTCAATGAGTGAAGGTTTTAAGAAGGATTATTTAATATGAAATTACAGGTAGTAATAAAAAGCTGATTCATTTTTGTTTTTGCTCTTTTGCTTGATAGTCTTTTAGCTCAATTTTTGTTCATCACCTTTGTTTTTTTCGTATCGGCAGGATCTCAGCATTTACTACCTTGCATCACTTTTCAGTATCACAGTCTCGAAAAAGATTCTGCAGTATGTCAGGGCCCAATTAACCACGTGCCCATAAATCTGAAACAGAAGCAAGGGCTGTATCCCTTTCCACCAGAGTGGTTTGTAATGAGTGACGGTATTCAACACAATCCAGCGCCGATCATTCCGATTTTCGCACCGCCCTTGGGATTTACTGAGCGCACGTCCCAAAATCGCATTTTATCTGCCCCCAAAGAGCCAAATAAGAATCTACGCCATTCACTTCAGCTTCTGGAGCTTTAAGATTTACCCAGAGAGCATTCAGTTGAATCCATGGCAAAATCTCATTTTCATACCCACTTGCCTTGAGGGCATAGTACGAACAATTTCCTCTTACAAAGATCACTTGAAATGTTCACGGTGGCTGAGTGAACTCAGATGTCCTAGTATACAACCTGCACGGCAGGTGACTCCGCCCAGTAGTTGGAAGGAGGCAAAGGACTACAGAGCCGAGGATTCTGGGGGAAGGAAATGACGTCAGGAGCAAAGCATGCTGGTCGCAGGCGGGCCGACTCAAGACAGCTTGGTCGCGTGTGAGCTGAGTGGGATGTAGTGAGGCGTCCTCCTGGGTGGTCGGGAGTAAACAGCCGGCTTGCGTACGCTGCACAGCTGCGTGCAACAGTGGCGGGTGTGGTGGCCGCAGTGCAGGGCCCGGCCTTCTAACTCGAGAGCCTCGCTGGCGCGTCCTCAGCGCTCTCCATGGACATTGGCGCAGACTCCTCTGGAGAGAGTAGGTGGGAATCCGAGAACTCCGCATCAGTTATGCCTGTAAGGGGGTTACGGAGAAATCCTTTTATCGAAGGAAAGCGGAGCTGAAGGGTTTGAGTCTCATCTGGAGGCCAGAGTTTAAGGCCAGGCTGAAAGCGGTATCCGGAATTGGGAGAAGACGGTGGAGTAGACATCAGAGGAGTTGCAGAATCACACCTGTTACCTTTCGGTAGCTCAGGCTGAATTATAAATAACTTTTCTTTTTCCGGATATGGTAAAAAAAAAAAAAAAAATCTCAAGAACCTTAGTATCAGTTTCTTATACCAAAAATAGGCTTTTCGTTTGTTTATTGTTCCTTTTGAGACTGGAAAACCGCACTGTGTCTCAAATTGATGTTCTCAGTGTGGTATGACAGTAAGTGTGAGTTACCAAGACCGGCTCTGTGTATTAATGCTTACTTGTATTAAAAAAAACTTGTTGATTTGAGGCACATTACAGACTTGCTACCTCCAGAATGGCGATTAAGGGTTAAAACACTTGCTTGTGTGGAATATGCATAGTAACTAACCCAAATCGGTAATGGTTTTAGATCTGGCCAGCTGGTAACCATGAGTGAATGGATGAAGAAAAGCCCCTTAGAATGGGAAGATTACGTTTATAAAGAAGTCAGAGTGATAGCCAGTGAGAAGAAGGAGTACAAAGGATGGCTTTTAACTACAGACCCAGTCTCTGCCAAGTGAGTATGCATCTTACCTTCCTGAAATGACAGTCCTATTTACTGACCTGGATAACCAAGATGAGAAGGCAGACCAATGAGAAGCTGGTTATTCCCCCCACCATAAGAATGGCTTTTGAGCCTGGTGTGGTAGTACATGCCTGCAATCTCAGCACTCAGGAAGGCAGAGACAGGTGTCTCTCCATGAGTTTGAGGCCAGCTGGTCTACAAAGTGAATCCAGGACAGCCAGGGTTACACAGAAAAACTCTGTCTTGAGAAACAAACAAAAGAATTGCTTTTGAGCTAAATGCCATTTTTAACTGCGGATTACAATAGCAAACTATACACAGTTATAGGAATAAAAAATATACATTCTCTCCTCTCCTAACTCTTCTTTCACAGGGTCTCATGTAGCCCAGGCTGGCCTTGAGTGGGCTGTACAGCTAAAGATGACATTAAACTTCTGATTCATCTGCTTTTACTTCCTGAATGCTAGGACACTGCAGTCAGCCTTTTCTTTCTTTCTTTTTTCTTTCTTTCTTTCTTTTTTTTTTTTTTTTTTTTTTTTTATAAGTCTCACATAACTCAGGCTGGCCACATTGTGTAGCTGAGGATAAATGTGAACTCCTGATCCTTCTATGTCTGTCTTCCATATATTGAGACTAGGTGTGAGCTACCATAGTTTCGAGAAATTCTCTCAAAAAGTAAAAAAGGGCTGAGGCTTCGTAGAGGGAAAATGCCAATACCGTTTACTGGCAAAATCTAAACTTTATTGAAGTACCAAGTAGAATTTTGAAAAAACTGTGGAGGAGGATTATATCATACCCTCTGTCTCCCATTCTCTGTATTTATTGTGAAATGTATCAAACTCAAAATCTTCCTACTTTAGCCTCATGGGCACTGTGATTATAGGCATGAGCTATCATACCAGGCTGAAGCTAATATCAGAAACTGAGGACAAGATTACAAAAAGGCTATTAAGCTAATTCCATTTATGAGTACAAACACCCAGATCGTTAATATATAGTCTCCTACAAAGAGACCTTGTTTTCAAAATAAAAAATTTCACTTCCATACTACTCTTTCCCCAAAGCCTCATAATTCTTAGCATATTTATGAGAAAACTCCTCACAGCCAAAAACTGAGACACTCTAAAAACAGCTCACTTGTACTTTTCAAAACTCTCAAGATTATAGGAAGCAAATTAAGATTGAAAAACAGATCAGAGGAGAGCAAGGAAACTGAAAAACATCAGAGGAGAACTAAATGAAACCTAAGATCTTGGATTGGAAATGTAACCTAGGATCTTAGATTAGATTCTAGAACAGAAAAAAGACCATCCGTGGAAAAGGCAATGCCAAATAACATCTGTGGTTTGGTTAGTATAAACTTAGTTTTGACAAAAGCACCATCAGTATGTGCGACTTTGGGGTTAGCTTAGTGATGGGTGGATACTCTGTAATGACTTTACAACATCTTTTCTGTTAGTCAGAAATCGTCTGTGTTTATGACAAATGGCCTAACTCTTAAAAAAAAAAAAAAAATATATATATATATATATATATATATATATATATATATATATATATATATATATATATATGGCAGAAGTGGCCACTAAACCTTTAATTGTAGGATTTAGGAATTAGAGGCAGGACCGTTTCTGTCTTTTAAGACTATTTTCGTCTATAAAATGAGTTACAGGCAGGGCTATACAGTGTCTCAAAAGAAGAAATCAAACAAACAACAAAAACAAAAAGGTAGGGGCCTTACCAAGTTGCCCCAGGCTGGCCTTGAGTTTTGATCCTCACACTTCATCCTTAAGAATAGCTGGGATTATATGTCTTTGCACTGAGGTCTGTTGTGGAAGTTTTCTAAGTTTCAGAATTATTGTTATAAATATGTTCATAATATTTTAAGTATGTTGCCTTATTACTAATATTGTGTCCCTTTTGTCTGTCTTGCCTAAGGTTTGTGAATTTTGGTTTTGTTTTGTTTTTCAAAAAACAACTTGGGGCTCAGTGTGGTGGCATACACCTTTAGTCCCAGCACTTGGGAGGCAGAGCAGGTGTATCTCTGAGTTTGAGGCCAACCTGGGCTTCAGAGGAAGTTGTAGGACAGCTTGGGCTACATAGACAAACCCTGTCTTGAAAAATAAACAGGCCTGGTGGTGGTGGTGGCGGTGGTGGTGGCGGTGGTGGTGGCACACGCCTTTAATCCCAGCACTTCAGAGGCAGAGGCAGACAGATCTCTGTGAGTTTGAGGCCAGCCTGGTCTACAGAGTAAGTTCCAGGACAGCTAAGCTAAGACAGAGAAACCCTATCTTGAAAAAAAAAAAGAAAAAAAAGAAAAGGAAAAACCAAAAGAGAAAACTTTGAGAGTGCATGTATGCACGTGTATACTTGGTGCTAAGGATTGAACCTAGAGCCTCATACATGCCAGACACAGACTCTACCACTCAGTTTACCCACCTTCAACTTTGGGTTCGATTATCCTTTGGCTTCTGCTTTAATATTTTTGAGTTTGAATTTTTAAATATTTTAAAATTTCTTTAAATTTATGCTTTGTTTTGTGTGTTCAGCTTTAACGTTTATTTTTCTTCACAGGTTTATGTCTATGGTCTATGTGCATGTATATAAGCATATTCATGCGTGGCATGTGCAGTGCAGTTAAGCAGGAACATAGGTGGGGTTTCCCACCTGAACCCAAAGCTTGCCATGTGGCTAGGCTAACCAGCCACATGGCTCTGGGGATCTTCTGTGATGCCCACATGCTGGGATTCTACCTGGACTGCCAGGGATCCAGCCTCACTCCTCGACACAGCTTCATCTACTTTTGCTTTTAATTCTATAGTTAAATGTTTACCTTGTCTTATACATATAGAAGGCGTTTATAACCCTTTTTATGTTTTTCTTTGTGCTAAGCATGCACTCCAAGCCTTTCACTCTTTAGATACTACAATAGCTATGTCCTGTAATGATTAGCTAGGCCAAATGTGTAAATTTTTAGGAGCTCGGTGAATACTTGTGGAACAAATAGAAGCACTTGGTGGTGAGATGATTAATTTTTAACAGGGACAGTTGTTCCCTTTTGTCCAAGGACCTGTTTGGGTTGGTGATGCTCTCATTCCACTGCTTCTTCATAGTTCTTGAGGTTTTTCTTTTGAAAATCTGCTCTGAACTTATCTTTTCTTTACAGTATTGTCCTTGTGAACTTCCTTGAAAATGGCAGATTGTCTGTGACTGGAATTATGGGACATTCTGTGCAGACTGTGGAAGCTGTGAATGAAGTGGACCATAGAGTAAGAGAGAAGCTGGTTCATTTGTTCACATCTGGAGATTCTAAAGGATACAGCCCTGAGGATCTGGAAAAGAAAAAAAATAGCCTAAAGAAATGGCTTGAGAAGAACCACATTCCTGTCACTGAACAGGGAGATGCACAAAGGACTCTCTGTGTGGCTGGGGTTCTGACGATAGAGCCCCCATATGCTCCAGAGAACTGCAGCAGTTCTAATGAGATCATCCTGTCCCGTGTTCAGGATCTGATTCAAGGACATAGTTCAGCCTTCCAGTGAGAGGCCAAGCACTATGAACCCGACCCAAAGGACGTCACTGTTTGATTCTGTATTAAATGCTTCGAATGTAAGTTGATTGTATTATAGGACTTCAGAAGCGTGTGTGTGTGTGTGCATGCATATTTTAAGTTTTTGTAAACTCAGATGAGATCATTAGTGATGATTTCCTTGAGAAATGAAGGGTACATGAATAACATTCCGTGCACTGAAATTAACACAAGAAAGTCAGACTTGTAAGGAGCTTTTTGTGATGAGGGTAAATCACCTTTTTTGTGAGGCAAGAATGCGTTTTGAATAGGTGTAACAATGTGAAATAAATTTATAAATTTCAATATAAGATATTAAGGTAAAAATCAGAGTCTCAGGTCCCTTGACTAACTATATCTCTGTTCTTAAAATGTTGGTCTTTCACTTTCACATGGACATATATGCAACTGAAATACCAGTACACATAAACACACACACACACACACACACACACACACACACACACACACACAAAAAGATTAGGGGCTGGAGCAATGGCTCAGAGGTTAAGAGCACTGGTTGCTCCTTTCAGAGGTCCTGAGTTCAATTTGCAGCAACCACATGGTAGCTCACATCCATCTTTTACGAGATCTGGTGCCCTCTTCTGGCAGGCATACATGCAGACAGAATACTATATACATAATAAATAAATCTTTAAAAAAAAAAAAAAAGGATTAAAAAAGAATGTTGCTTTTTGCTGGGTTGTGGTGGTGCACTCCTTTAATCCCAGCACTTGGGAGGCAGAGCAGGCAGGTAACTGAGTTCAAGGCCTGCCTGGTCTACAGAGTGAGTTCCAGGACAGCCAGGGCTACACAGAGAAACCCTGCCTGGAAAAACAAAAACAAACAAAAAGTTGGTCTTTGAGGTTGATTCAGCAACAATTTTTGAATTAGAGTAAGCTGTGGTTTGGCTGTAGCTTGTGCACCGTTCCAGTTCTTATGATGGGAACTTCTAACTTTAAGAGATGAGACTTAGAAGCCAGGCATGGTGGCTCAGGCCTTTAATCCTAGCACTTGGGAGGCAGAGGCAGGCAGATCTCTGTGTGTTCCAGGCCAGCTTGGTCTACAAAGTGAGTCTAGGATAGCCAAGGCTACACAGAGGAACTCTGAGTCAAAAAACAAGCAAACAAAAAGAGAAGAGACTTGGGGCTAGAGAAATGGCTCAGCGGTTAAGAGCACTAGCTGTTTTTCCAAACGACCCACGCTCAATTCCCAGCACCCACATGACAGCTTACAACTGTCTAACTTCAGTTCCAAGGGATCTGACATCCTCACACAGATATGCATGTAGGCAAAACACCAATGCACATAAAATAAAAAAATCATTTTTTAAAAAGTGAGAGATGAGACATAATGGCAGTCATCAAAGGTGTGCCTTATAGAAGTGTCTTACAGTTTTATTGCTGTGGACATCAGGACCACAGCAACTCTGGGTTTTTGTTTTTGTTTCCTGAGAGGGTTTCTCTGTGAAGCCTTGGCTATCTTCGACTCACTTTGTAGACCAGGCTGGCCTGGAATTCACAGTGATCTGTCTGCCTGTGTCTCCCTGAGTGCTAGGATTACAGGTATGCACCACTGCTGGCTGACAGTTCAGAGGCTTAGTCCATTATCGTCATGGTGGGAAGCATGGCGGTGTGCAGGCAGACACGGTGCTGGAGGGGACAAGAGTTCTACAGCTTGATTCACAGGCAGCAGCAGGAGACTGTGCCACGCTGGGCAGAGCTTGAGCATAGGAGACCTCAAATCGTGACCACAAGGTAAAACACTTCCTCCAAGAAGGCCACACCTACTAACAGCGCTACACCCTATGGACCTAGTAGTACTCAAATACTTGAGACTATGGGACCATTCCTATTTAAAACACCATAGGCAGGATTGTGGGACTTGGTCTCAAACTCCTGTTCGATGATGTAAGCTATTCTTTTACTGTGCTGTGGTGCATCTGGGAAAGGAAAAGTCTGTATGTGAACATGCTCCAGCACTGACCAAATAGAACTGATGCCATATTACTGTACTTTACCTCCAACATTGAGCTCAGTTTCTCTTCTTAAAAAGCTTGTTCCAAGTAGTTAATTTTAGTGACCCAAAGCTGACTAATAATAGATTATTATTATTTATGGTTGAAAGTTTGGATGCTGGTTAAAAAAAAAAAAAAAAAAAAAAAATTGTTCTTTTTGTTTGTTTTTGAGACAGGGTCTCACTATGTAGCCCTGGCTGTCCTAGAACTCATTCTGTAGATCAGGCTGGTCTCAAACTCAAGAGATCCATCTGCCTCTGCCTCCCAAGTGCTGTGATTAAAGATATGTGCCACCACACCCAGCTGTGTGCCTTTTTTTTTTTAATGTATTTTTGGTTCTTAGTCGATAGCCCTTGCTGATTTTGACCCCCTTGACCTCACAATCTCCTTGCCTCAGCCCCCTGTGCTGAGTGCTGAGATTATAAGTGTAAGCCACCATACCTGGCTTTTCCTCACAGCTGTAAGCATGATTTAAAAGATGCTCAATCCTCACTCAGAAAGACAAACCGGATGGGCGTCAGAAGAGGGAGAAAACAGGAAACAGGACAGGAACCTACAACAGAGGGCTCCTGACTCTACCCAGCAGGATATCAAAGCAGATGCTGAGACTCATAGCCAAACTTTGGGCAGAGTGCATGGAATCTTATGAAAGTAGGGAGAGATAGAAAGAACTGAAGGGGACAGGAGCTCCACAAGGAGAACAGAACCAAAAAAAATTGGGCACAGGGATCTTTTCTGAGACTGATACTCCAACCAAGGACCGACCATTCATGGATATAACCTAGAACCCCTGTATGGATGTAGCCCATGGCAGCTCAGTATCCAAGTGGGTTCCCTAGTAATTGGAGCAGGGACTGTCTCTGACATGAACTCAGTGGCTGGCTCTTTGATCACCTTCCCCTGATGGGGGAGCAGCCTTGCCAGGCCACAGAGGAAGACAGTGCAGCCAGACCTGATGAAACCTGATAAGCTAGGGTCAGATGGAAGGGGAGGAGGACCCCCCCCCCATCAGTGGACTTGGAGAGGGGCTTGGGAGGAGATGGGATTGGGAGAGAATGAGGGAGGGGGCTATAGCTGGGAAACAGTGAATAAACTGTAAATATAAGCAAAAATTTAATAAAAAATGAAAAAGTAAAATCCAGTGACTAAGACTCTTTAGAAAAAATTTAATAGAGGAAGGAGAATAGAAAAAAACTGGCTTGATCTTGGAAATTATTCTGACCAGGTAACACTGGTCAGAAAAGAAAGAAGCCATACAGGAAATTAACCACAGGGTCACTCAGGCTCGGTCTTAGCTCAGCAACAGATTCTGGGGCGTTCGTGTTGGTAATCTGTTGGGGACATGTTGTTTCTTGGCAACTGAATCCTCTGGCTGTTTAACCAATTCGCCTACAAATAAAACCTGCCTGCTGGAGAGGGCAAATGCTCCTCTCTGCCATGGAGACTGGCTGCTAAGGCAGTTTCCCTGTCGTTGCCTCAGCTAAGACCCCTGAGAGGTTAGTTCAGCTGTTTGTGATCCTAGGGCCGATGGTTGGGGCTCCAGCTTCCGCAAAGGCAGTCTTCCCCAAAGCTGCCTCTGCTTATGCCTGGCTCTAGGTGGCAGCCAGGGCAGCCTTTGAACATGACATCAATAGTACTTTAAAAAAGGACAAAACCAAACAAAAGACTTGGGCTGGCAAGATGGCTCAGTGGTTAAGAGCACATACTGCTCTTCCGGAGGACCGGAGTTTGATTCCCAACAGTCACAGACATGTCTCACACTATGTAGCTCTGATTGTTCTGAACTCACTTTGTATCAGGCTGGCCTCGAACTCAGAGATCTGCTTGCCTCTGTCTCTCAAGTACTGGGATTAAAGGCCAAGCTTCAAGCTTTATTGGTTTAATTGTTGGTTGTTTTTTTTTTTTTTTTTTTTTTTTTTTGAGCCAGAGTTTTTATGTGTAGCTCTGCTGTCCTGGAACTCACTCTGTAGACCAGGCTGGCCTCAAACTCAGAGATCCACCTGCCTCTGCCTTCCAAGTGCTGGGATTAAAGGCTTGTGCCACCACGTTCTGCTGGCTTTGAGATTTTTAAAAAATTGTTAGAGAAGCAAAGTTTGTAGTAATTTTTTTTTCTCACACAGTATTTATCTGATTTCCTAAACATCTCTATTGTTTCTCAGAGATATTATGGCTGAAATAGATTTTTTTCCCCTAAATTAAGTTTTAAAATCGTGTGAGCTGGTGAGGTGGGACAGTGGGCAAGGGCAAGTGCCACCAAGCCTGATGACCTGAGTTCCACAGTGTGGAAGCAGAGACCTGAGTCCTGCAAGCACCCCACACCAGCAAACAAACGTAAAAATAAAAGCACTAATGAAAATTTAAAAGCCTTCACAGTCAACTGTTAATTTCAAGAGTATTAATGGAAATGTATGATACTCTGAAAGACAGTGTGAGATGCTAGCTTGGGCTAAGGATTACTATCTAAATCATGCTTAGAATTCGGGAGAAATCAGTATATTGGGCGTCTACAGTTGTACATATTTAATTGCTTCTACTTCCAAATACAGTTGATCTTTATAAACCGTTGTTAAGAGATTTTGTTTTACGAAAGACATCCCAGGGTTGGGCAGATGGTCAAGTGTGTGATGTTCCTCCAGCACCAGCAGCAGGACCTGAGTTTGGGTCTCCAGCATTCATGCCTGATGTGGAGACATGAACCTTTGTGCTAGGTTGCTGAGACAGGCAGAACCTAGGGCCTGCTGGCTAGCCAGCCTAGCCAAAATGGCAGCTTCTAGGTTTGGTGATAGATCCTGTGTTGAAAATTAAGACAGGGTTGGAGAGATAGCTCAGCAGTTTCGAGCACGTGCTGTCCCTGCAGAGGGCCAGCGTCAGTGTTCCTGTGCCCTTCTCTGGCCTCCTTGGGCTCCTGCACAGTGTGGTGCACATACATTCAGGTACTTTTTTTTTTTTTTTTTTTTTAAAGTAAGATGGAGAAGTGATTGAGGAAGACATCCTGAATCAATGTCTGGCCTCAGTACACGCCTCTCTCACATGCATAAACCACAGACATAAATCATGAG